TTTTTGAGACAGGTTCTTGTGTTGTAGGGCAGGCTGACCTCAAACTCACAACATAGCCCAGGCTGGCCTCAAACTCAGGTGATCCTCTTGCCCTCAGCCTCCTGAGTGCTGGGATTACAGGCATACACCACCATGCCCAGTTTAAGCATTTATGTATTTTAATGAAGACTTAATTTAGGTTTAGTTGTGACCAAAATATCATGCTTCTCTAATAGTTTTGTTGCCATTAGTCAAAACCTCCATCTTAACAGATACATACTATTTACATTTTCTCTAACTCCAGATTTGTAGATATTCAAAGGTAGATATTTTCTTTCATTTAAAAACAAGAAAGGCTTGATTTATTATAGAAATCAAGTAGCATTGACACATATACTAGCCATAGTGAAATATTTTATTCAGAATTATGAAATGGAAAACTGCAGGGCATGGTGGTACACCCGTGTAATTCTTTTTTGTTTTGTTTTGTTTTTTGTTCTTTGGTACTGGGGATCGAACTCGGGTCCTTGTGGTTGCGAAGCAGGTGGCAGAACCACTGAGCTAAATCCCCGGCCCGACCCGTGTAATTCTAGCGCTCAGAAGGCTGAGGCAGGAGGATCACCATGAGTCTGAGGCCGGCCTGGGCTACATAACAAGCCTCTTTCTAAAAGAAAAAAAAAAAAAGTTACAAATGTAGATCAGAGGTAGAACATTCCAGCCATAGGTAAAAGTCCTGGGTTCAATCCCCAGCACACAAAATAGAAACTGCTTATATCCCAGACACTCTTATATCAACTGTATTGTCAGAGGGGAGAAATCAAGTACCAAAGACCAAGAGGTTCTGAGAATCAGCAGGTAGACAGTGGCTTGTAAATAAATAGTAAAAAATGCATACTGTTATGTTCTGTTACTCTTAACTAAAACATTCATTAGTTTTCTCAGGCCTAATAAGTGTCTTAAAATGTACCAATTTAAAAAAAATAATATCCTAAGCGAAGACCTTACATACTTTGCTTGCTTGGACCACTGTTACCTGTTATTTTTATTCTGTAGCCCAGATCTACACACTGGCTCTGATGACTTTCACTAGATAATTTAGAATCCTTAGATGAAGAACCATTTGCATGTGATGAAGGCAGAGAAGTAGTCTACACTGCAGTTTGCCACCTCCCAAAGGACAAGCCTGTACTTTAGAACGGATTCCTTCCTGAGCTCAGTAAGGTCGTAGGTGGTTACAGTCTTTTCCTTCAAACCATTGTTCAGTTAAGTGAAAAGCAATGGCCAGATGACCTGCTGGCAGAGGCCACCTCCTCACGCTCCAACAGGGACTCGAATCTAAGGAAGGTACATCAGCGAGATCATTAATGAGTGGGCCTGGTGACCGACACCTGTAATCCCTGATGTCCCGAGTTTGAGGGAGGAGAATCATAGCAAGTTCAAGGACAGCCTGGACTACAGAGTGAGCTCAAGGCTAGGCTGGAATACATAGCAAGACTCTGTCTCAAAAACCTTGGAAAAAAAAAAAAAAGATTTCAGGACACCAAGGAAGTAACAAAGGAACCACATTTCTATTTGTGGCAGGAAGCCACTCTGCGTTCAGCTTAATGTTTGTCCATCAGTGCTGGCGTTGGAACCCTTTAATCTAAAGCTCCTCCAGGTCTGTTCTTGAGAATTAAAAAACAAAGCAAAACAGAACTCAGTTTACAAGCATCTTTAAAACTATAACTGACCTAGAGGTTTGGAAATCAAGATAAATTAGAGGACGTGGGGGAGTAGATAGCCGGTGCCCTCCAAGCCGAGTTTCACTGAGGGCAAGCGGGAGCCCTGCGAGCCGCCGCGGCCCTCAGTAGAGACTGGTCTTCAGGATCCTGAGGAACTCCTCCTCGCTCACCTCGCCGTCGCCGTCGCGGTCGGCCTCGTCGATCATCTCCTGAAGCTCCTCGTCCGTGAGGTTCTCGCCCAGCTCGTTGGCCACGCGCTTGAGGTTTTTGAAAGAGATCTTCCCGGTCTCGTCATCGTCAAAGAGTCGGAAAGCTTTCAGGATTTCTTCTTTGGTGTCCTTCTCGGCCATCTTCTGGGTCATCACAGCCAGGAAGTCATTGAAGCTGATCTTGCCTGTGTCTTCCTTGTCCACCTCCGCTATCATTTTCTTCAGCTCCTCCTTCCTGGGCTCGAAGCCCAGCGCCCGCATGGCCACTTTCAGCTCCTTCACGTCGATGGTCCCGCTGCCGTCAGCATCGAAGAGGTCAAATGCTTCCCGCACTTCTTGCTTCTGCTCTTCAGTGAGTTCAGGCTTAGGGCCCACTTTTTTCTTCTGGCTGGTAGAGGCCACATTTGGCTTCTTGAAGCTGGAAGCCATCCTGGTAGCCGTTGGGGGCAATCGCCGAAGCACCGTGGCCACCGCGCATGCGCCTGGGTCATGGCCTCGGCTCTCGCATCCGGATGCTGGGACCTACAGTTCCTGCAAAGCTGTCACATTGTCATCACCCACTGTCCTCTAGGCTAACGGGCGCTGGCAAGAAATGCCATAGCCACAGTTGCCTTCTGTAATTCATCGACCCTGGCTTTTCGTTCTGGACCTTTGATTTGCATCTGTAGCACCCTTTTATAGATTTGGAAGTTCTTCTTTGCTCCTTTTCCATACTAATAAAACTGAGACATTTTTGGTCTGAAGTTACCGATGGGCAGATTTTGGATAATCAGGACTGAAGCCAGCTGGTGGTGCATACCTATAATCCCCCCATTTTGGGAGGCTGAGGCAGAAAGATCACAAATTCAAACCCAGCCTGGGCAATTTAGTGAGACCTTGTCTCAAAATAAAAAATAAAGAGTTGGGAATGTAGCTGAGTGCAAAGGTGCTGGGTTCAATCCCCAGAACTGGGGTGAAAAATGAGTTTGATCACTTGGCATTAAATGTGGAAAAGGAGAAGGAAGAGAAAATATTAAAAGTCACACCATGTGTTCAAACTGACATAAATGGAAAACAGATAAAATGGAAAAAGTTATGTATAAAATTTGTAGAAGTTTGTCTCCTGACATTACACTCAACTGTAATAAAATTTTTCCGGCATATTCTCAAATATGAAATGTAATAATCAAATGTATGATTTACTTTTAGTGTTTCAATTTGACATACTTGGCATAATTGCACTTGAGTAATGGTTGTAATTTCATTCACTACACTTGATTGGAGGAAAGGGAGTCGAAATACTGCATTCTGGTATCCTAGTTTTTGTGTGTGTTTTGTTTTTAACTCTAGCAGCAATTTTACTCTGTTTTTCATCCAATCAGTGCTGTGCAATAACTCACTCTGTAGCCCTCCTATGACTGTGGGCCTCATCCAGACAGAAGGGAGTGAGAGAGTGACAGGAGAGGACCTGAAATTACCTCCTGGAAATAGAAGGGTCCTTCCATAAACCAAAGGAGCAAGAGCTTTTAAAATACAAAACAAAGACAGTGTTACCAAATAAGCCCAAGAATGGTTCTGTGTTTCTTTAAACAGTTAAAAAAGAAGCCACTGACTTTTACATTTAGCGTTCTTCACCTAAATAATCAAAAAACTTAATTTATCACTACTTGATCCATGAACAACACATGGCACTTGCAAGTTTTTCTTCAAGAGTTTTTGTGTCCCTAGTACCTAGAACAGTGCTTGAGAAATTGGAGGTAGATTAATAAATATTTGTTTAAAAAAAGAATAAATACTTGTTGAGTTAATGTATGACAATTGTTTGTCCCAAAATACCTTCTCAATCATCAAACTAAAGCAAGCAAAAAAAAAACAAACCCCAAAAGATTAAATAATGTTAGGAATGTTCTTACAAATTTTAAAAATCTGTGATCAGATATCGATTACAAGGTATTTTGTTGTTGTTTTTGTGGTGGTGGGGGTTGAACTGGGGCTCTTGAAAGCTAGGAGAGCTCTGTCACTGAGCTGCATCCCCAACCCATGTGGCACATTTAATTAGCCACAGCTCGCTACCTGCCCTTGTTCATTTTGACAGTAGACAGACAGCCTGGACACAAGGTTTCCACAGGCCAAGGCAGCTTACCTGGGCACTTTTTGCAGACTCTGTCAACTCAGAGTAGACTGTAGCAGGCAGACATGGCAGGGAACCGATCTTCCAACACTGCACATCCTTCTATTCTGCCTCTTTTGTTTCTTGAGATAGAGCTTTGCTATGTAATTCAAAATGACCTTGAACTCCCTGAGTAGCCCAGGCTGCCCTTGAACTCATGGTGATCCTCCCACCTCAGCCTCCTGAGTGCTGGGATTACAGGTGTGCATCACCATGCCTGGTCATGCCTGGCTTGCCCTACCTCTTCCAGGTCAGAAAGCTCCGGATATTCTAAGCCCATGCTTCATTGTCTCTGTGACCTTGGGAAAATCACTTAGAATCATTTGACACATTGGCAAAGGAGACATCATGATAAAGCTCCCTAAAGCATTTCCAATGAGAGAATATCCATAAAAGCTTGGGGACAGGAACCTAGTTAGGGCTATGCCGGCCTGGATAATTGCTAGTTGAACCTCAATTCCTCCCAGACTTTGTGCATTTCCTTTGACACCCACCCCTTTGCCCAAATTCAAGCAAAGCTGTGATGTGTTGGGAAAAACTGAAGGATAGAGGCTGCCTTATATAGAACTACACTGGGGCCAAGTTGAGCTCAAAGCAAACTGGTTGTCATCATTTCCAGATGTGTGCAATCAACAGTCACAACAAAGGGCCACCAAGAACTCTCTTCGTAGAAAACAGTGCCCTTGGTCAGAGGCAGCTCTTGGTGGGGAGTTACTTTGTGTTCATAATCTAAACTCTGATTTAAAAAGGAAAGGGAGGGGCCAGGGATTTAGCTCAGTGGTGCTGCTGCCTGGCCTGCCTCGCGAGCGCAAGGTCCCGAGTTCGATCCCCGGTACCAGAAAAAAAAAAAGGAAATGGAAATGTACTTTTGTTGTGTGCCCAGCATTGGGTTTGGGCCTCCCATTTGTCATCTCATTTGATCCTTACATTCATTTCCCTTTTTGCAGAGGAAAAAAATGAGGCAGAGGAGAGATCTGTGATAGCACACAGCTAATAAATGTGGCTCTGGGATTCAACTGTGGCCTCTCAACACTGATGCTTTGTTCATTACATACACTGCTTTCTCTAAAAGTTGAGATTACCATCAAAACACAGTATCCCTGGAAAAATAGGATGCTGATTTTTTTCCTTAATAATTAAGCATCTTGCCTAAAAAGTTTTAAAAGGAATTTGTAGGCTCTGAGGCAGGGTCCTAATGTGGGACAAATTACCAGGGACAAAAACACCCTGTGTTTGAAATTTATTCTTCAGCTATTCTTTCAACTCCACATACAAATTATTGGGAAGGAGTCTGGGACAAGTACTTTTAAATTAGCATTAGTGTGAGTCTATACGGTGCACATGCAAATCAGCTTCATTCCTTTTAAGTCACTTCTCAAATTCTATTAAGACAAGCTGGGCATGCATGGTAGTGCATGCCTGTAATCTCAGCACTGGGGAGGCTGAGGCAGGAGTATCGCCATGGTTTCAAGGCCAGTCTGGGCAACATAGTGAATTCAAGGCCAGCATGACCTACATAGCAAGACCCTGTTTCAAAAAACAAAAAGAGACTGGGGCCAGGGATGTAGCTCAGCAGCACAGTGCCTGCCTGGCAAGTGCAAGGTCCTGAGTTCAATCCCTAGTACAAAAAAAAAAAAAGGACTGATAGTTCATGAAATACTTGAAAAATGAATGGATGTGAGTAGGCTTTGTTCATTCTTTTTTCACTTAAAAATTTATTTTCACCTAAAATTTTTTGTGCCACAGTGTCCTAGGTCAGTAATGGCTAGCCTTTTAGAGCTTTCAGTGATTACCAATAGCCTGCTGTGGCACATGTACCATTGGTTCGCCACCTCTGGCCTAGGTAATTTGCAAAATTGGTTGGGGTTATCTGAGCGAAGGAGAGAAGTTGGTTAAGTTTGGTCCGGAAGAGTTAACAGCTGGAAGGAGGGGCAAAGGTATTGGAATTTCACAACAGAGCCTGGAGTCAGGAAAGATCAAGAGAAAGGACCCATGCAGCTTGCTTCTGCTGATTATTTGGTTTTCCAATTGGCTTGCATGGCATGAAAAGGTGACGCTCAGGAGCCTTTTAAAATTTAAGGTGCATTCAGCAGACTCAGCAAATTCCAGGTGCCACCCAAGGCAGAAAACATGCATAATAAAGCTGATTTATTGCTGCCTATTTACTTTCCACTAAATGCAGAACAGAAAATGTAAATGCTTGATACTGCTCCTACATAAGCAGGACCGCTGTGCTGGGCTGTGAGAGGAGAACCCAAAAACCAATAGTAACAGAGCTAAACTGTTTATTCTTAAGTATGTGGAGCCATTTACAAGAAGTGGACTCAACAGCAAAAGTTTTACAGTCCCAGTGGTCGGAATTGGAATATGAAGTCAAGTCCAGTGGCTCAAACCAAGCCCATTTGGCAAGCCTAGGAATAGATCTGTGTCCAGCCAAGGGCTACATGATTTCTCCTTGCATGAAACCCAGGAATAAAGAAAACTCCTTTCAGTTACAGACTGTTTTTATAAAAGAATTTGCCAGAATTTCACAGTTTCTCAAAAGCTTTCACCCAGATATCCATAACAGCAAAGGAGAATTCGAAGCAGTCCCCTGCAATCCAGGAAAACATTTGGAAGAAACCTGCAAGGGACATAGTCGTGACATAGTCAGAGACCACCACAGGGATGGGACAGACACACGCTTGGGCCCCTCACCTGTTACCTCACCTGTTACTGTTAGTGTGTTTCTCCTGAGGCAGTCAGGAACTTAGAAGTGTTTTCTGCTAAAAACTGTGACTCTTCACTTGGGGGCCTGCACCTGCCCAACTAAAAGTCGAACAAAGCTTGACTTTCACCTTGTAAAACTCTGGGTGAATCCTTCTCAGCTCTGCACACAGGCGTATAAGTCATTCTTAGGGAGTGTCTGTCCAGCCCTAAGTCTACCTAGCCTCTCTCATCGCCCTTCAAGACTGAGGCGCTAGGGCCAGAAGTCTCTATTGTTCTAAGCTTATAGTTGCCTTGGATGGCAGCAGAGCCTCACAGGCCTGAAATTACCCCTCAGGGCATAAGAACTCCTACTGTGGGAACTGAATTGGCCCCCTAGTCCTGAGGATTCAACGTGGGCCAAGAAACCAGGGCTAAGATAATGATGGACCAGACCCTGGCTCACCTCAGATAATGCTTCAAAAAAAAAAGGTCTCCTGCATTTGTGGAGGGCCAGTCTGATCCTCTTCATCAGAATGTCAGCTCCTCAAGCTGAAGTCTGTTACCATTTCCTCTTACTTTTAATTAAAGCTTTTTCCTGTAAATCTGTGCTTTCAGTGTAATTTCTACTTCTACCAAAGCAAGCACCCACACTAGCCAGGGATAAAACAAGCACAAAATGTCTTTACCATCCTGTGTTTATCTTTTTAAAAAGTGAAGTTGTGTGGTTCTGGCACCTGTCTTGCAAGTGCAAGGTCCCAAGTTCGATCCCCGATACGAAAAAAAAAAAAAA